AAAAGGATTCTCATCTGAAGAGTGCCTAACTAAGACATGCTTGGGTCTGAGCTGGGAGGAAGCCGGCCAGCTGCCTGCCAGGAGAAGGACTTGCTTTCCTAGGCACTACTGCTGCCAAGGGCACGCCTGCACTGGGGAGGAGGTAGAGTGGAGGGAGAGGAGCACCTCCCTGTTTTGCACCAAGAGCATGGAGGGGATCAGCTCCTTAAAGCTGAGGCCAAAGGGTAGGATCTGTCTTCTGTTGAGGGGCATGGCCCCTCCCAGGCTGCTTCTTCTTTAGCGTCTCTAGGGGCCAAGGAGGAGGCAGACCAATGGCATAAAACCTCCAAACTCTGTTCCTTTGCTGAACTCTGTGGTCAGCTGCTGCTTCTGAAATGGATAGCAAATCTAACTAAAGCAGAAGGGTGGAGGTTAGATAGATAATGAAGGAAACATGGGGAAAGGACAAGCAATGAGTTCAGTTTACCTTGGGGAATAATCGAGACATTTATATAAGGTGTCAAATATGCTAGTGGGCACAAAGACAAGAGTCAGAAAACTGAGCTCTTTTCTCCCCCACAGGGAAGTGCGTGAGCCTGGAGAACTGTATCTCCCAGTTGTGCCCAGGCCATAATGCTAGGCCTCCAGGTGGGCTTCCTGGCTTCCAAAAATGGGCAAGGACACACTCTGGTTCCAGCTGGTTTTTGTGACTTCAGACAGTTACAAGAAGAGTGACTTGGGGGCAGTGATGATGGCTGCCATGGCAGTGGTTACCCCACGTGCCTGGCCCTTTCTGTATAGTCTCTCGTGAGTGGTATTGCTCCTGGTTTACAGAGGAGCGACCTGAGACCCAGAGAGGCTGGATGTGATGCCTGGTCCCACAGCTGCAAAGTGGTACAGAGCCAGATTTGAACTCAGTGTTCATGGCTCCAAAGTTCTTTCCTTTCCCAGGTTATCACACTCTAGACACAGATGGGGGAAAGGGAGGAGGGTGCAGGGCTGGGAGGTTTCCAGGTCCTGAGGAAGATTTGCTGGGGGCTCTGGACAGGACTGTCCCCTTCAGAGATTCTGCAAACCTGGCATGTGGTGACACTAATGCCCACCTTCTCTCTTTCCCAGACATGCAAAAGATGCAACAACTGCAGTCCATGTACAGTCCCTGTAGCTTTCTACTATTCTAATAAAGCAGGAGAGGTAAGTGGGAGCCAGGTCATGACTTGGGACTTGTGAGTCACCTTAGGGAGCATGGGTATTTTCTAGAAGACTGCAGAGGACTCAGGGTTTTTAACAAGGCATGGCAAGATTTGATTTGTGCTGACACAAATGTACAACGTATATATGTTGAAGAGAAATAGTGAGTATGCATTTAGTATGTGCTAGTAAGATATCAGATCAGTTTGGCCCCATGAGAAACGTTTACTGGAGTGGTACAGCAGTCCCCCCATCTGTGGTTTCACTTCCCATGGTTTCAGCGACCCGTGGTCAGCCTTGGTCCAAAAATATTAAAGGAAAAATTCCAGAAACAAAGAAACTCAGTAGTTTTAATTTTTGTACTGTTTTGAGTGCTACGGTGAAATCCCGCACCATCCTGCCCCGTCCCACCAAGGACATGAACCATCCCTTTGCCCAGTGTGTCCGTGACAGCCTGTCGACCACTCAGTACCATGTTGTGATCAGATTGGTTGTTGTGGTATCACAATGTTTGTGTTCAAGTCGCCCTTGTTTTATTTAGTAGTGGCCCCAAAGTGCAAGAGTAGTATGCTGGCACTTTGGATATGCCAAAAAGAAGCTGTAAAGTGCTTCCTTTCAGCAAAAAGGTGAAGGTTCTCGACTTTATAAGGAAAGAAAAAAATTGTATGCTGTGATCGCTAAGATCTATGGTAAGAACAAATCTGTCTATGGAATCGTGGAAAGGAAAAAGGAATTCATGCCTGTTTTATTTTCACACTTCCAACTCAAAAGTTGTAGCTACAGCAAATGATAAGTGCTTAGTTAAGATGGAGGAGGCGTTCACTTTGTGGGTGGAAAGAGAGGTGGGCCAAGGGGCCCCATTTTGGCCAGTGGTATTTAAATAGCAGCCTAGGTTCCTGATGACATGGTGGAGCCACTGGAGAAAATGGCTTTATTTGCTTGACCACTGTAATCAGGTTTGTGTTGCATGTCAGCAAACAGTCCCAGATGGTTCAGAGACGCATTTTCACATCTTGCTTAAGAACGTGGCCCTTTGAGTTAATGGACAACAGCTTTGAGTTCCAGCTCTGATGCATGTTAGCTGGCTATGTGAAACCTCAGATGAGTCACTGCATCACGCTTCTCCTTTTTTGTAAATAACAGTAGCATCTAATGCATGTCTCAACATATAACACTAGAGTCCCCCACTTGTCCCAGTTTGCCTGGGACTTTCCTAGTTTTAGCACTGGAAGCCCCTCATTCTCAGTTCCAGGCAAACTGGGGCAACGGGTCACCCTATTAAAACATCACACAACTACCCTACCTCCTTTTCAGATGGAAGACTGGGTCCTGAAGGCTAAAGATTATATTTGATGCTGCCCCTTAGTGGCTGAGTATAGTATAGCATCACTGCCAAGTTCAGATTTACATCATGTATGTTTTTTAACAAAACAGCAACCACAGCTGGTAAGAAGCAGAGTAAGGATATTGTCCTAGCCATTTACTTTTAAATTTAGAACTGCTGTAACCCCCTATGTTTTCGTAGTCACTGGTTTTCACCACCAAGTGTCGTATCTTGCAGGGTTGTTGGGAGGATTGAATGAGAGCAGGTAAAGCCTTCGCTGGTGTCACACAAACTTGGGCTTTGACTTTTGAAAGTGGCTTTGCTCCCCTGATCCTGTTTTCTCGTTTGTATTAGGGTAATAGGACCTTCCCCAGAAAATTTTTTGGACTGATACATGCTTATGGGGTCCCTGGAGGAAAGTATGACTCGATCTCACCAGGGACACGAACCATCCCTTTGTCCAGTGCATCCACTCCTGCCTGTTGTTCCCCAGGCACATGGTTCCGTGACCACTGACAGTTCCAGACCAGGCCTCACGCCATCCCTCTGCCAGGGGCTCTGCGGCTCTGGGAGTGGCCACACTAGCTCCTCAGGGATATACCTTCTCCTCCTCATCAAGACCACCCTCAGCTGGCAGGTGGCTTCAGAGACTAGGAAGGCCTGACCAGCCACTCTGATGAATTAAGCTGGTTCCTCTTAGTCAGAAGCTATTATTACTCATCTGAGCTGGCCACTGGGCAGGCACTACACAGGGGTATGACCCCAATACTCAGGTCGGTGGCCTTGAGCAACGGGAGCTAACTGATGCTCAGGCCGGAATGCTGTGCCAGCCACTATCAAAGTCAGAGCTGCGGTGTAAACCCTGTCTACTTTCTGCTTTCTACTTGGCTGTGTTTAAGCGCACTCCGGTACACCCACTGTGGCCTGGGCTGCGAAATCTGTTTTGAAGGCTTCCTGAAGATTCAGAGAAACAGAAGGCTGCCTTCCTGACCCTCCTGCATCAGTCTTGATGAGCTCTAGAAAAAGGAATCACTCAAATCTTTCAAAGGTCTAATTCTGCTCTAGCTGTGAAAGACCCTCAAAAAGGCTTAATGTCAATACTAGATTAAGTTCTTCCATTTTTACAAGTGAAATTAGAGAAAGAATATGCCACTTATATTAATTAATACCTATAGCTACAGGGAAAAAGGGTTAAGTACTCATTTAAGCGAGAAAATCAACACATACATTTGCTGGCCTCTGCTTTGTTCTGTGTAACTCTGACCAAAAGCCTTGTAGTCCTGTTTTAGTGCCTTGGTTTTAAGTTTCAGTGTCACACACTTTTAATGTTTTAAAAATGTTTCATCTAAATCATGAAATATTATAGTGACTATAAAGAGAGCGCTCCCTACCTATATCTATCTGTCTCAGTGTGGAAATATCTTTCAGACATATAAAGGGTTGCAAATTAATGAGAAACATGTCTAAGACATATTATTAAAGGAAATAATGGGATAAAAATATTTTTAAGGAAAGCAAGTCATAGAAATATATATATAAAGACTCCTATTTAAAAATTACACATACTTCTGCATCTGCATGGAAAATTTCTATAAGAATATCTGTCAAAGCTCTCACAGTGCTGTCTCCAGAGGTGGGATTAAAGAACTTCACTTTAAAATTTTCAGTATTATTTGATTGCTTTCCAGTGTGCATGTGTTAATTTTAATCATAAATACAAGAAAGCTGAATATGCTCATGCATAAACCCACACTTGCCATGAACTAAGCTGTTAACACCACTACCCAGACACTCAGCTCAGTGCTAAGTGTTTGTTTATGGACTGAAATGTCTCAGAACTGCATATTAAAGAAAATATTTTAATGTGCATATCCGATGTCTTGGGAGGCTGTGTTGAGAAGCCAGAGTTGGTATATTAAGAACAGTACGTAAATGTCTAATCACTATGTTGTGCACTCGAAAACTAGTATAACATTGTCTGTCAACTGTAATTAAAAAATAAAAGTTTAAAAACCTGGGGGGGAAAGGAAATGCAGATTACAACTTGAGCCCTGGCTGGTGTGGCTCAGTGGATTAAGCACGGGCTGTGAACCAAGGGTTGCCAGTTCGATTCCCAGTCAGGGCACATGTGTGGGTTGCAGCCAGGTCCCCAGTGTGGGCCACATGAGAGGGAACCCCACATTGATGTTTCTCTCCCTCTCCTTCTCCCGCCCCCCCTAAAAATAAATAAATAAATACATAAATAAATACATAAATAAATAGGAGTTATGCACTGTCTGTCAAATGTTCTTTAAAAGAAAACAAAAACAAAATACAGATTATAACTTGAATGAGGAAGCACAAGCTACCCACATGGAGGTGGCAGGTAGCTCCCTCAGCATCTGAGCTCGCACTTTGGGGAAGTGAAACCCACCCAATGGGTCATTTTGATTGAAGGCGGTTTCAACACGTCCACACAAAGGAAACAGTCACAAGATTTATTACTTACAGATCCCAGGTAGGGGGATGCAACGGAGCTGGGGGAATGGCAGTTCTCTGTTCCAGGTCAGGGATGAGCAGGAGGCTGAGAGCAGCGCAGCAAGCACCTATTCCTGATAAGGTGGCTGGGACAGAGGTCACTAACTTTTTGCAGGCTTTACTGTAAGGGGTGTCCAACCTTTTGGCGTCTCAGGGCCACACTGGAAGAACAAGTGTTGTCTTGGGCCACACATTAAATACATTGCAATATGTAATCATGAAAACATCTCATAATATTTTCAGAAATTTTACAGTTTTGTGTTGGGCTGCATTCACAGCCATCTTGGGATGGGTGCAGCCTGCGGGCCCCAGGCTGGACACCCCCGCAGCAGTTATTTTAAATATTCCCTGGAAAAGTAAAGCGGGCACTCACGATGGGCACCCTGAGCTCCAGCTCCTCCCTACATGTGCAGACTCGGGGGCTGTCATGCTGTAAAATGCCTAGGCCGCAATTAAGAAACACAAAGCGGTGTCCCTCAAAAGGTGTTTTTTTCACCACAGAGGCCAAACCTGTAAGTACACTTTTAATGTGGAGTCTTATCCAATATATCTACCTTTACCAACAGATGTTGCAAACTAATTTTTAAAACATCTGACTCACTTTTATTTTCTCAAGCTGTATTTAGCAGTTCTAAATCAGATACTGTGAATAAGAAGCAAAAAAAAAAAAACCCGTTTAGGCTTTAAATAGTCGAGAGACAACACAAGATTGTCAGCAATAATAGAAGCAGTTAAGCTAAATTTTAACCCAGTCCAAGGCCACCGGCTGTGACGCGTCGTCCTGGCCAGCAAGCACTGAAGTTGCTGCAGGGAAGGAAGCAGAGCTCCGGCTCCTCTCCGTTGTCCCCACTGGGCGCAGTGCGGCCGGTCCCGACCACAGGGGCCACGGGGCCTGGCTCTCCCTGCTCTACACGTTTTCAACTAGAAAACTATTTATACAAAAAAAGGATAAAATTTCAAAATATTGGCACTCGCTTGAAAAGAACTAGAGTGACTCGTAGGCACAGACCGTTAGTGGTACGTACAAATATTCATCAAAAATTTATTAATAGAAACAGAGATGTATTTAAACGCAACACGGGGTGGAAACAAAAAGCCCAGATACGACGGCACTGGAGTGTCTCACTTGCATGTTACAGGTCTCCCCACAGAACTAGCACCGTTTGTTCAGAAACCACAGATTCAATGATAATTGCTTCTACTCTATAAAATACCCAATAAAGATGATTTAACTATCTAGTAACAAAGTTCTTCCAAAAACTTATTTAAAAATCAAGTAGAATTTACCCTTTAAAACTCGCAGAGAAGGTTTAAAAGTTGATCCAATTCTACAGCTTGTCCAAGGGAACGAACCGTAAGTCATTTTTATCAGAAGCAAGTGCCTCAGCTCAGCTTCTCACTCCCATCGAAATATCAGCCAGGCACAATACACTGAATACTACATTGGAATAAGAGCACATCTAAAACTGGTCTCAGAAAATATTTTCCTAGACTATAAAAATACTAAGTGGAATACAAAAAGTTCAGCATATACAGCAAATAGACTACAGCAGACAAATATTTAAACATCCTTAAAACTATCTTATACCACAATCATCATGGATATCAAGTAGTATTATAATTCTTCTATGGTTCCTTCTAGTTCAACATTTTCCCATTGTTTTGTTGTCATACAGACCAAATTCTGTGTTTTTAGCAGAGGTTACTGGAGACACCATGTAATAATTGGTGATACCCAACTGGCTCTCAAAGTACTCAGCATGCAATTGTAGCAGAGCCTGTCTTTTAGGTCAGGGCTCAGCAAACTATAGCCCAGGGGCCAGCCTGCCCCATGGCCTGTTTTAGGGGATGTGTTGGTTGTGGTCGCTTTCACATGAGAAGAGCAGAACTGGATGGCTGTGACAGAAACTGTATGTGGCCTTTTGGTGTGCACAGTTTAAATATTTACTACCTGGCCCTTTCCTGAAAAAGTTTGCCAAGTCCTATTTTACGTAACTCATTTCGGGAAAGTTTGCACTCAACAAGGACAAGGTGAGGTGGTCCCAGATGAAGAACATTTGGGCCGAGATTTGCTGGTTCCATCGTACGGTAAGGGCCATGGCAGATCAAAAGAATACATATCTGGGTTGGCGACTTCGAGCATTAAAATATCCTGGCATTGTAAGTGCAGTCTGGCTGTGATAAAGTACCTTCCATTCTCTGTGGATTGGCTATTGTGTATCAAGTAACTCACGTACCTGAACCCACCAATGCACTCACTGTTCAACCCAAACCATCTCTGTGGCTCTCAAGCATGATGTCTAGCCTTTGAAAATCGATCACCTTGTACCCTTAGCAAAGAACTGAACTAGAGGCGTACCTTTCCCATCCCTCTGTATCGGCATAGATTCTGTAAGTGCTGGACTGTGTATCTTTTAGAATCCTTCCCGGTGACATGCATCATAATAATTGGTACTACCACCACCCAGGGCCACAAACATGTCCCTTCTGACAAAGCGGACTAAGTTTTCAAGGGGACACATGGGCCTGGGAGAACGCTTGTGGTGGTCCTGGCAGAAAGAGGTGTGGAACGTGACATCGACACCATTGTAAAGAATCCGCACAGAATGCTCCCTGGGCTGCTCTCTGTCCTGCCAGAGCTCGAAGATCAGCCTGGCCGCAAACCTTGGGAACTTGGCTTCCGTCAGGCCCAAGGCGCTGAGAACTGGTGACAGAGTGACGTCGTGAGCAGAGTACAGGGCAAAGATCTCTTCTTTTCTGCCCTCGGCAGCACGCTGCATGCGGCCGATGGTCTGATTCAAGATGGGGTGGGCGCCCAGGAGCGAATACCCCAGATACAGTTTCTTCTCCTGCCTGTCTCTCTCATCCTCAATCTGATGCGTCTTGATCACCTTGAAGTGCTCGATGTCAATACAGCCATTCCTGGTGCAAGGGAAGCTGACATTGTGGCAGAAGTGGCAGAGCATGGAGTCTATGGGGTTGGCAGCTCGAAGCTGCTTGGTGGGGACGTCCACGATCTTGGCCATGTCCCCGTAGGTCTTCTCCAGCTGGCTGTTCTTCAAGCGTAAGAGGTACTGCCGACGCTGCTCCTTTTCCAGATACTGGTTTCTCATTGGGCAATAGCAGTTTCCGGAGCAGAAGAGAGCACTGGGCTGGTGCCTGAAATAAATCTTCTTCCAGTCAAAATCTGGGAGAAAGCCATAAAGCAGGGCCAGCCCACTTTGCAGCGTCCGGCTTTTCCCGGTGGTCTCTAAGTAAAGCTGGTCTGGGGACCAGTCACTGGGCAGGAGTTTGTGTTTCTTCAGATAGATGTCCCTCAGCAGCTGGCCATTCTGCAGATGCTGCACGACTCCTGAAACAGAGCAACAGACTTTCCTGATCACCAGCTCAGCCAAAGGCACGGCAGAGGGAAGTTGGGTGAGCCAGAACCCAGCTTCGGATTGCCTTAGATCAGTGTAAGAGAATGTAATTGAGCCTGCTGCCCACTGTGCAGAAGCTACAAGAATGGGTTCCAGTCAGTGTAACTAGGGAGCACCTCGAGGGTATTCATAAATGGATGAACACAGTGGGTCCTGTCCTCGGACCACCGCCTTTCTGGGGAGCACAATGATCATCTGACGCAACCCCTCCCCCTTGACCAGCCCCTGCCCCAGGGGAGGCCCGGTGTGACTGGCGGGCCTCAGCAGGCAGGAACTACTCTGCAGGTGGGTGACATGACATTCCTGAGTGTGCAGGGAGAGCTCAGGTAGCTCAGGCAGGTAAAGAGATGAAGCTGCTTGCTGGCTGCTTGGTCCTTGCAGTGTGGGGAAGTTCCCTCCCTCCCCCATCCTCCCAACCTGAGGCTCTCTGCTAGGCCTCTACGTGCATCCTGCCTGATCCTGCTGGGGCTTTACCAGCTAACCCACAAGGACACTCTCTGTGTGGATATGGAATGGTCTCCCAGACACCCAGATAGAATACATGAAAAAACCCCAATAACCCCAGGATGCACAGCAGTCTGTTTTTATGCCCCTTTTAAATAAAGATGGGAGGGGGGAGTAGGAATGTGCATTTGCAGTTGCCTGTGTGTTGCACGAAGAAGCTTTGGAAGGATGCACAGGCAAGTGATCTCAGTGGTTCCCCGGGAATGATGGGGGCACAGACATGGGGAGGATGGAAAAGGGACAGGAGCAAGAATTTCAGGTTGACCTTTGAGTTGGCTTAGTGTTGAACCACAGAAATAAATTATATTGAAAATGTAAGAAAGCCTTATCTTTAAGCGAGAGAAGGTAATCCAAGGTAAAAGCAAGCTCACCTTCCAGCCAATGGGATGCAATTCCAGTAACAGATATGAATTCTCTGACTGTGGAAACCACTATGAAGACCCCATGACCAGTACTATCATTTATTCAGATGCCCAAATGTTTGAACGGCTCTGCTGCAGAGATGAGACAATTTAAGGCTGAAATGCATGAGACACAGGGCACTGTTGGCCCAGGAAGGGGGACAGCTTAGAAAAAAACCACAAAGGATATCCTACTCTGAATGAAGACTATTGACTAATAGCAGAATTCCCTCAGAGATCCAGGCTGGGATGAGCCTTAGCATTTCCAAAACGATTTGCAGAATGAGGCAAACCGTGAGTGACAAACATTGAGAACCTGTATCTGGCCCTAGTTCACCTCTGGGCTTATGGTATGTTCTTAAGCCACATGTATTAGAGTTGGAGTGCTTACTGTATGCCAGACCTTTCTCCTTTAACCCTCACAAAAGCCCAGTAAAGGCATATTATTCTCCCCATTTTCCTCATTTTCCAGATGAGGAAACTGAGGCCCCGAGCCTTTTTTGGCCTAGAGGTAGCAGAACTAGAGCCCTGTTGTGGCCCCCACCTTGTGCTCTTAGTCCCTTCTCACAGCACCTTCCTCCTGCATTTCCACGCAGAAATACCAACTCCTAGCCATTTAGGGCTTTTTTTAGTCTTCAGACACAGCCTGCACATTCCTGACTTTGTTCCTGCCCTTCACCTCCCTCTTCCTAGAGAAATCGTCATCGAGCACCTGGCTGCAATACTCTCTTCTCTGTGGAGTCTTCCTTCTTCCTCCCCCAGGTCAAATGAACAATTCCTTCCTGTCCCCATATGCCGCTGGACTTCTGGGACATTAGCCATATTCACTGAGCCTAGCACGTGCTGGCTCTGTGCTAGGTACTTTCCACATGCTATTGAATTTAACTCACCACCAGCCCTGTTGGGAAGACACAGCCCCATTTCACAGGCCTGTCTACCCCAAAGCCTGTGTTTATTCTCTAAGATCCTGCAGTCTGCAGCAGTAACCTTAGTGATCTCCATGCACGCAGTCCCACTGCGGCTGAGGGGCCCATTAGGACAGGCAGCGGAGCATCTTACTCATCTGCCTGCCCACCCCTCCCCGACACTCAGCAGCTGCCAAAGCATCTTGAACACAGTAGGCATTAATGATCATCCTGTTCTTATGTTGTTACTGTGCGGTGCCAAAAGTGTGCCAGTTATAAATGATGGTTATAACAGCCATATTTTTTAAATGAAATTTCAAATAGAGGATAAAATTGGCCATTAAAAGAGAATAAGGGAACGGGAGCAAACAGTACTGCAAAAATAATTTCTAGAATAATACTAATTTAGAATATGACGATGGTAATAAATCAATTGAGAAGAAGGGTCAGAACGAATGTCTCTTAAGAGTGTGAGGGCCACCCCCCCACACAGCCCCCACTCTGGATGCAGTCACCCAGACCTCTTAGCCAGCTGATGGACACTGACCCTCAAGGACACCATCAGATTCTCTCTCTCAAGAATCTGGACTAGCCAGTCCACCTCTGGGTGTGGCTAGGACTGTCACTCTGTCATACACACAGCAGAACCACAGAGGCAGAGACAGCCAGCCTTTTTATTCCTGGTTCTAGTCTCTGGAGGCCTGGTCGCATTCTTGCCCTTAGAGTCTGAGTCACCCTGAATCCTTACAATAGATGTCCTTTTTCCTCTTGAGTTGGTTTCTGTTACTTGGAACCAGAATCTAAGCAATGGTTCTCAGCAAGCATGGTTCTGGGGAGGGTGTGAGGTGGCGCTGTCACAACAATAAGGGAAATAAATGTTCCTGACACCCAGTGGGTGGTGGCGGCCAGGGGGCTGGACAGTCTTCTCAAGGAACTGTTCTCTGTTCCATGTAACTGTCGAATGTACCATAAGACATTCCCACACGTGAAAATATCAATTTAAATAGCTTAGAACCTGTTTTTTTGAATCTATAAATATAGTCATTTTTGCATAACATTAACATCCAATGAATTGTTCAGAAATGTGATATTGAAGGACATCTGTATTTTGTTTTGATCAGAACTTGTTAAAAAAAACCAACATATCTGCAAGAGCTCAAAACACTATTTTGAAAGAACAGAAACACCTGTATGTTCACTGCAGTGTTTATAATCGCCAAGATCTGGAAGCAGCCCATGTCCATCAGCAGATGAGTGGGTAAAACAACTATGGGACGTTCACACAATATCTACTTTGCCATAAAAAAGAAGAAAGTTTTACCTTTTGTGACAGTATACATGGACATGGCAAACATTATGCTAAATGAAATAAGCCACTTAGAAAAAGACAAATACCAGATGATTTCATTCATATGTGGAATCGAATGAATAAACTGAACTAACAAGCAAAACAGAGACAAACTCATAGATGGAGAACAGATGACAGCTGGTGGGGGGAGAGGTTAGGTGGGGGAGGGAATGAGCAAGAAGGAAGAAGGACTCATGGACATGGACAACAGTGTGGTGATTGCTGGGCAGGGAGGAGGTATAAAGGGACTAAATGGTATTGGAAAAAATATAATAAAGATTAGAAAAATAAAAATAAAATTAAAAAAAACCCTTGCCCTGACACTTGGTATTAAAGTCACCGATACAACATCCTTCAACCAGCTTGCATTGGTAGCTGTCACAGTCGGCAATCCATATTTCTGTGTAAGCAACTGATTCCGTCATTCCATTTTCCAGTGCAGGCGCGCTCAAGCATTAATACTGAGGTGCATAGAATTCTATAATAAAATAGCTTCCTTGTTTTCCTCTTTTATGTTATAGTTAGGGTACCTAACTATATTTTTAAACCTAACATATTTTTAAATTGTATGTGTAAAAAGATTATATTATATTTGAATCTTACTTCAGGATAGTGAAGGGAGTGCCTTAACTTGTTAATAAAAGGGGTGCTGGATCGGGTAGGGTGAGAAATCCTGTTTCAAACTGATGCAGAATGTGTGCATGTGGAACTAATTATCAAAAGCTTTTGACAAAACTGTATTCAAGGCTGGCCCCTTCATTCAGCTTGCCACTGTCTGTCACTCACTGCCATTCTCCCTAATAATGGCTTTCAAAATGTGGTGAGACCCAAGAGGGCCAACCATAGGACAGAACCCTTCCTTCCATCAAAACTGAGGTCCTACGATGCTAGGGAGACAGGAAGACACAGGGTGGCCAATAGGTCCTCCTGATTCTTCCAAAGAGGCTGGTGACCAAGCACAGGTCATTTGAGGTCCCAGAATGAAGAAGTTGGAAACTGGAACCTCTCAGGGAGAAGGGGAATAAGTTCTTTCTCTTCCCAAAAAGGTGGCCCCACAATTAACTCGCCAACCTGCCCTGACAGTGAACTGGCTGCAGAGAAAAAGATGGCCTTCTGTGAGGGACTCACTTGACCAAACTCCTTGCTCAGAGAGGACCTGCCAGGTGTCTGTCCCTGAGCTCTGGGACACTGAAACCTATCAGGTGTTATGCCTGCAGCAGCTAAGCACACGGGACTGGTTGTACGAGTTATGGCCCATCCACAGTGGAATAACTGGTAGCCAGCAGAAATGGTGTTGCTGATAAATGGGGAAACATGACCACAATATAGTAAGTGGAAAAGAGAGTGACAACAGTGTGTTCAGTAAGATACCACTGTGTGCGTGCATGCACATGCACGGACACAGGAAGAAAGATAACTCATTTTTTTTGGTGGGATTATGGGTGCTATTTTTCTTCCTTTTGCTTTCTTAATTTCTCTTCTATAAATATATATTGCTTTTATAATAACAAAAAGTTTTCTTTTTAATTTTTAGAAATCAGATGTTTGATTGGGTGTGTTGGTGGATTCAGAGCTGCTAGGGGTGCCAGTCTTTATTTCCCCTGTGAACGCACTGCGCCTTGCCCAGGAGTATGCGCTCCACGTGTGTGCTGAGCGGAAGGGAGAGGAGAACGTGTGGGCGAATGGCTGTCCCACGTACCTGTCTGGGTGAGCTCTCCCATCTCACACAGCGGGTGATTGGGGAAAAGAGGCAGGGAGTGTAAGGGGCTTTCAAAAGAGGCTCCGGATCCTTTTGACATGTGGCTAACGAAAGCTTCCAGTTTAGGGTGATATGGTTTCCTAAAGAGAGAACACAGAGATTTCGTGGTCAGCATGCTCCAAAGCAGTTCGCAACTGTTTCAGCTTCAGCCAGCAAAACCCCAAGCGTGGTGTGCCCACCCTCCCCCACAAGAGGCACTCACTCAATCATTTCTGAATTCCAAATTCCACTGAGGCCTACACATAAAAACCCCACCCTGAAAGGCCAGCCCGTGTGCCTCTCTGCTGAAGTGCCCATCACTCTGGGAGTCGGCTTTGCCCTCCATCATCTGGCTCCCAACCTGCGCCCCTCCCATTTCCCTCTCCAGGAGGCCACTGACCTTCACCAGACAGTCATGCCTAGGCTGTGAGGGCTCGATTTGCCCCTCCCCTGCCCGTACACATGCCACCTGCCCCCGAATCCTGCAGATGTGTCCTCCAGGGGCTTCACACCTCTCTCCCACACCCCTGCAGCCACTAGCTGGGTCCTGGCTCAGACAGCTTCTGTCGGGTGGCACGGGTTTCCCTTTGGGCTATCTGCAGCCTAATCTTGCCCCTCTAATCTGCCTTTGCAGCCTCCAGAGACACGTCCTTAAAAGGCAGACCCAACCCAACACTGCTCTTCCACATTGCCACCTTGTGGGAGGAGCCATGCTTGCCGGTCAGTCTGTTCTGGCCCCAACCCACGCTGAGGCTCAGGGCTGGCCAGCCCTCTCCACTCGGACACTGTGCTCCGGCCACTCGCAGCCCAACGACCGACTTCTGTTCCCCCAACACGCCTTGTTCTTTCACGCTTCCAAGATTTTCCACATGCTGCCTCTTCCTCCTAGAAAACCTACCCCAGCCTTTGCCTGGGTAATCCTTAATTCTTAACTTACTTGACGTCTGGAAAGTCTCTTTTGAAAAATTAACTAATTAGGATAACCAAAGTCTCTATAGCGTTCTACAGTTCACTATGTATTTTGCACATGCTCTATCTCATTTCATGTGGGGTGGTAACAAATAACAAAGCAAAACAAAACAGAACAACAAAACCTAAAAACCCAGTATGTTTATGAGATCTGACTTAAAAAAAACCATATTTCTGCCATGGAGTACATGTAGTAAAACTACATGTATTTTTCTGGTCACTAATTTATCTTTCTAGTCACTAATATACAATTTCCCCGAATAATGAAAGGATCCATGTATACATATTTTGTCTGAATAATGAGTTGACCTGTGAAGATGTACACACTTTGTCTGAATAATGAGATGACTTATGAATATTTACACCTTTTCTTTGAATAATGAAATGGACTAGGAATACACTTTCCAGCATAGAACAGCTCCCAACTAAACCAAATTAGCATAAAAAAGCAAAGACGAATTGTTTGAATGGCAGATCCTTGCTGTCTCAAAGCCCAATTCATGTTGGCAATGCTTTAAAAATGGCTGCCAAAATAGGTTTGATATTTTTCAAAAACATAGTGCTAAAAAAATCCACCTTTAAAAGAAAATAGGTTTTGACATAAAAGAATGCTAATCCTGTCGCGCAGTCCAGTCTGATAAATCACCCAGGCCTGCTGCCTGCAGAGGGCATGCCATTTCCCCCGAGGCTACAGCACAAATATTTGCAAAATGGGAAATGGAATTCCAGTTGACCACGAGGAGGCTGCCTACGTGCTCGCCCAGGAACACAGGCTACGTGTCAGCAGGAGTCCAAGGGGCTGCTGCGGCTGCTCTTTCAGGCTGGTGACGTCTGAGCATCTGGGAAAGCTCTGTGGCCAATTTTAAAAACAAGACTTCACTACTGGACGTGTTTGCTGAGATGCCCCGGGCTCCCTGGGAAACCCGACTGCTTCTCGATGTGTTTGTTTCTCCCTGTGTTTGTGAAAACTTGGTTTTGGCAGGATGAGATGAAGATTCATAGAAGAAAAACTTCACTCATGGAAAGAAACAAATGGCTGGCTCTTTTCAAAGGGAAGAGAACCGGGTAACCCGAGGCCCCCGGCCTGTCCTGGATCTGAACAGCAGTTCTTGCCTGCCCAGCCACAGCTCCACCCTGCGAGCTGAGAGGGTACCTAGCACATGGCAGCCACTCCAAAAAGGCATGTGAACGAATTCACCCGGGAAGTGACCCTCCTTAGATGCTTCAGAAAAGCCCAAGCCTGCCATAATCTGTAGCAATGAATGTGGCAAGTTCCAAGTATTTACTAAAATGTTCAGATTTTGATGGAAATATTAAAAATAAATACCATTGAGGGGGCGACTACTAATTGTGACAAAGCCTCTCTTTGACCAAAGTTCAGTGAGTCTCCTCTGAACCCTCTTCCCGAGGAGGCCTTGACTTCTGGACTGTCTTTGCGTTGCCCAGTTTTAGCAAGAATCCGCCTAAGTCAGTTTAACCAGCCAGAATCTCCCACTCTTGATATCGATCAAATTCCTCATCCCCAGGTGCTATCTGATCACCCTGGGCTGCCTTTAGCAAGAATCCGATCAAGGTGATTTACCCAGAATTAACCCCCTCTGAACTACGCATTGCTCCTGATGTCACCTCCGTGGAATTTTCCATTCACTAACCCCCACCTTACTCCTTGGCTATGAATCCTCACTCATCTGTGCTGTATTTGGAATTGAACCCAGTTCTATATGGAGGTCTCTTTTCCTCCTGCATTAGTTTCTGGATAGAATGTTTTTACTGCTTTAACTAAATGTCTGGCTCTGGCTTTTCTTTTAGTCGTGTACTAAAATCTATTCTCTTTTTTGGAACTTGGTTAGATCCCATTTCTGAAGTCCTAGTGGTGAGGGAGAGCCATGTGACTCAGTGTTCACCAATGGAATGGAAGTGTTAACGTAGGCAGCTAGATATTAATAAAGGAAGGGAGCAAAGGGAATCAGACATTAAGCCTAATAGACTTGGGAGTTGAATCAAGACAGTAAGTCTGCTTACTTTACTAGGAAGTTACAGCTTCACACACTCCCCAGGGAACCATCACTTCGTTCCCAGCAGATTACCGGGGGAGGGACAGAACGAAGAAGGGGAGATTCCTCTCCTGGGCACATGCCCGGTAGAGGCCAAGATGGCACAGGGGAGGTGCTTCCACTGTGAGACATACACAGTAGGAGCTAAAATGGTCACCACAAAGGCCTGTCTGTCTAGGCTGGGAAAGGGATCAGATTGGATAAGGGACACAGAACCACAATGATCTAGAACATGGACTGGCTTAGGGGAAGGGCCCAGCACCAGCCTGTGAAAGCTTGGGAAGTTTATTGGTTAGTTTGATGAAGCACCTAGTCCTTCCCGAGGCCGAGATAATATAATTCCAGTTTAACAAAGAAGCTCACACTGTCGCTCAGTAACATGTGCTCACCCTGTTCATTTGTGTGTTCTCTCTCCAAGCAGCTATACAGGTCTACAGACAGGCGGACTCCAAGCATGGGCCTGGGCACAGCCAGCTGGAGTGCAGCCAGGAACACAGACTAAGCTAGCCAGATGGTGACAAACAGTGGCCTGGACTGAGCCAATGGCACAGTACTTTTGGACCTTGGCCTTTGTACTGGGCTTGATGAAGACAAAGTTGGACTTTTTTCATGATGGGATGGACGGAATGGGACACTGGGGACCCAGGGGCAGTCCTTTGATTTTGCTTCTGCAATGAATCTTACCACAAAACCTCAACCTCCCATGCGGTGGGTCTCCTGAAATGCTTTTCTTGCGACCCTATGAAAGTGCCCCATTTCCTCTGGCAACAGAAGGAAGTATGCTACTTCTGGGTTTAGGCTTTCAGACCATGGGTGTGTCCCATTCTCACTCTCTTCCTTCCCTGTGGATGCTATTCCGGCATGGCAGCAACCCAGGTTCAGGCGTGTAGACTTCCCTACGCTGTCGGGGGAAGAACACGGGAAGGAATCCAGAACCTTGAATGACCAGGAGGAGCCTAGTCCTACAACCTGGAACATTCGTCTCAGATCTTCACACAAAAAAGAGACAGATATCTTTGTTATTCAAGGCAATGCATTTTTGGATCTCCTTACCCTGACTAGTACAGAAATGATTGTATCTGTGACAATGAACTTTTCTTCAGGAAACATTCATGTTTCTGTAACCTCATTGGAAATCTGCTTTCACACTGAAAATTTGAAGAATCAGAAGTGCCACTATTTTAAGCCTTCAAACCATTCACTTTAGAGTACTTATTTACATTTATATATGCATTGTTTATACCTATATATGCCTCAAAGCTTGAGACAGAACCCCAAGGCTAATCTGCACACCCATGAGATTTACTGCACTCCAGCAGCGACCTGAGCAACTGCTGACTTCTGCACAGGACGTAAGACTGGAGAAGTAGTATAAGACCAGTGACACTGTTATCAGAAAACAATTTAAAAAAGCTTACATGGCTGGAAACTTATATAAGTTCATACCACAGCTTTTTAGAGTTTAAGCTAATTAAAGAATTTATTTTATTACTAATAAAATGAAATTCTAAAAAGAAACAATATATTTTTCTCAGTTTTTAGCTTTCCGGACCTTTTTGCTTTACCTGATATGATTGCTTGCCTTCTCCCTGCTTCTTGAAACTCTCCCCTTCCATAGTTCTCATACCCTCACCCTCCTGCCTTCTTCCCTGTTTGCCAGTTCATGGTCTCCTCTTGGGATTCTCCCTTCTCTCTGTGCTACTACAGGTTGGTGTTTCCCAGGACTGTTTTCTGCCCTTCTCTCACTCCAGAGGCCCTGTCTGTGATTCCGTTCAAGCCCACAGCTCCAACTGCGATCTACGTGGTGAACTCTCAAATTGCCCTCTTTCTCCAGGCAAGATAACTCCTAGGCCTCACAACTACATGGCCTATAGTAATTTTTAGAAACTATTGAAACACTTGGATGTCTGATGACAGTTCAAACTTAGCTCTGAGAACTCCCCTTGTAACTTCTCTCTGAGATTTCCCCTCTTCTGTGTATCGTGGGGAGAGGTATTGCCCAATCAGAAACTAGTGCACCATCCCATCTCTCTCTCTTATCTCCACCAACCTGTCACCAAGTCCTATTGATCTGACCT